AAGGACCAGTTAGCCAATTATTCACGAACAGAAATCTGCAACAAAACAATGATATAAGCTTTTTAAAGTTTTGTCAACCGTAGAAAATGACCTTTTATGGTTTAAGTAAAATAAATTGAAAAATCAGACCATTCAAACTCAATCATAGAATTCACGCCTCCAGTGGGCTCCATATTCAAATGATCTTTTCTGGGTCCCAAAAATCTTATCAACTTTCTTTTGGGTATTTTGACAAAATCAAGTTTTGATATGATAATCTCATAATTCATGGTAGGGTATGGGGGGGCGGCGCCATTCCACCATCATCTCTTTCATCATCCCTACCCTACTAACTCGCGAATATAACAGCCTTTTTCTTTCAGGCCCAATTGGGTTTTGAACCCCAATTAGGGTTACCGGCCCTTTTAGGGATGGGCTTGGATGAAGAGTTGATGGGCTGTCAGAGTGGAGTACTGACCCATGATCATGTCCATGTCAGGCCCATTTTCTAAGCAATGCGAGAGTTGGGTTCTTTGTCCAACGGGAATGCGACATAAATGACATGACATCAATTCGCTCGGCAGGATTCGTCTTTTACATGAAAGATGTTGTGTTATTGTTATTGTGTGTATGTGTTATTTAATTATTGAAATATATTAAATTAATTATATTTTAATTACTTAATATATTTTTAATAATATTAAATACGTATAATTATAAATTAGTTTTCTTTTATAACTCTAGAGAAGTTAATTGCTGCTAAAATAAGATATTTGATTTACAAATTCAATAGTTGGTTTTGTTTTAAAGAGAAGACAAGAAAATTGTAACATATGGCTTTTATAATGTTCAAGAAACCAGAAGCCAAGGTGGCTGACCAAAGGAAATATGTGTGTATATATATATACCATAATTCTCCACAAACAATATATAAATATACATTATATAAGCTAGCATACCCAAGCCATTACACCACTAATATGACTGGAAGTAGATGCTGAGCAGCATATGTAAGCTGGCAAACCTAGTTCCAAATATTTCTGTGTTAATTGTTACGGATGAGCTTTTTTTGGCATGTTTAATTGAAAAAAATGACGAGAGCAGAGGAGGAGCCCGCCAAATCCAGTTGAATAAATACAAACACATTGATATAATTAAAAAACTATAAACACATTGATCAGCTTTCTTTCTTTCTTTCTTTCTTTAATATTATCTCTTTTATCGGAACAAACAACTGAGGATAAGATAGAACTTGAAGGCGTGTTAGTTCTTTTTTTGTTCAGGTGCCTAGATATATTGGTTATACCGTTGGGAGCTCGTGGCTATACTTTATATATGTATGTATATTCTGTCCAACGAACTTGTTGACAAAACAAACCAGACGCCAAGAAGCTGATAATGATTTCCGCCAATTAGCAAACCATCCACACACCTCTTAATCATCAGCTCTCGTATTACTACTCGTCAAATGTATATACAGCCTGCTAACCGTATCTATACCCCCTTGTTGCCATGTCGTCACTACAAGAGTGTTGATTAGCAAGTTATTTTAAAGGGTGTATGTATAGGCGGCTTATGATGATGAATATGGGAATTGTTGTAAGTTTGGTGATGATTTTGCTGATTGTTGCAAGTGTAAGCGGTGGGTTCGTCGCCGGTGGGATTTCGGCTAATTTCAGTCATCATCAGTTTGACTTTTCTTCTTCTTCTTCTTCTTCTTCCTGCAATGCTTCTTGCTTGGATGACAAGAGAGGTGTTCCCACAGGAGCCAATCCTCTCCATAATTGATTAACAGGTACATGATATTATTAATTTACCCACTTCTGATTTTCAAAATATTACTCACTACAAAATATAATTTTTTCATGTACCACACCCGAATTCTCTCTCTTTCCCTCTACATATATGTAGGTATTTTCCTTTAGTTTCTTTGGATATGAAGTTGTAGCAATTTTATGAGATTTCATACCAGAAATCGAGTTTGAGACAAAAAAATTTGTTGTAGATTTTGAAATTCTTTCTAATATATTCACTCTCATCGATTTTATGGAGTACGTCACTTCGCTCATCTACATATATTTTACGCATGTTATGTATTTTTCTTTTAGTTTTTAATTTATTTGCTAATTCATCTCATCGTTCAACAACTATATATTCAAGACATATCAGGAAAATGATCCGCTAGTTACCGTTATTTGTAATTACAATATTAGGAAAATTTGGTTTTTGCTGCGGTTTGTACGCCGTGATAATTTTCTTGTAGCCTCAACCTTGCCGCATGCACCTCCGTTGCGGTTGCTTTGTCACCTGCAACAATGTCTTTTGTGTACGTAGCAACTTCTCTCTCTGTCAGTCTTCGTTGAAACTAAAAAGTGCCATGCGCGGCATTTCGCTTTGGCTGCAACATGCTTTACCGGTGATGTAGCCACCAAAAAAAAAAAAAAAAAAAAAAGTTAAAAACTGTCGCAAAACCCATTTTTGTTGCAATGTGTACTTAATTAAGAGTTATAGTATAAACTATCCTGTCAAAATGTTAATGCCATTTTCGTGAGGTTAATCGAAGTAGAAAATGCAAAAAAAAAAATCTTATTTATTAATTGAATTGCGATTTGAAAAAAGAACCGGTGTACTTATATATAATATATACAATTACAGTGATGGGTTTTTCACAAGCCATAAATTATTATGATATATTATTATAATACAAATCTGACATGTTCGTGCATGAGTTGTCGTTTGGCCGTTTGTTGTCCTCCCCTTAATTTTATCGCATGCCTATCTAGAAATCATAAGCCTGTCTTCTAAAAAATCAGTAATTCAATTAATATTCCCAAAATGAAACTCAAAATTTGATAATATTTTATCTTTAAGTTTATACGAAGATATATAAAAATAACTTATGACTCGAAGAACATATGTAATGATGTTTTGGCAAAAGCAAACAAATTGGAGCAAGCCAACTCTATAGACTACACGTGCATGCATGCATGTAATTATAGTAGTTTACTACTTTTAAGTATGAGGCGTGGCAAACAAATTTTAGAAGCTTTTATTAAAATATGAAATTTAATATTTATATGTCTTCGAGAGAGTTGAGTTTTTGTTGTTTTGTAGTTATGGATGCTTCTATG